AATTTTTTCACAGATATTAATTTCTCATGTAATAGGATTGTTAGAAAAAGGATCATCTGAGTCTGATGGCAAGGATGAATCGAAGACGAATGCATAGTTGTTGTATCCAATGTAACTTTTATCTCCTTTGAAGAAATCATCTTTATTTATGAGATTTTCATGTTGATTATTATCATCATTATCATCTATTACTATATTATCGTTACCATCGTTGTTGTTAGTGTTATTTATATAAATATACATAGAAAAATAGTAAATGATAAAATAAATAAAAAAGAAAAAAGAAAAATAATTATTATTACTATTTCTTTTTTTTTTTCTTCCCCTTTTTTTGGGGGTCCAATTTTTATCGCAAGGTCTATCTTTAAGCCTGCACCTTTTGCATCTCTCGTCCCCACTATTAAGATCGTATTTGCATCCTTTTCTATCTCCCTTGCATCCTAAACAACTTTTGAGCGAGTTAGGCATTTTTTTTATGAGAATGAGAAGAATACAACCTTTTTTTAAAAAAAAATTCCTTTCGTATTTATATATATTTTCTCACAAAACCTTATTTTTTCATATCATATAGCGATTTTTTCGATTGGATGACGAACAAATAAATAAATTTTTTTTTTATTTGCCAAATTTATATATATATTAAAGTTTTTTACTCGTTTATAAGCGAATTGTTTAGTTATACAAACAATCGCTTTGTAAAGTATATAAATTTGTTGTTATTAAAACTTTTAAATAATAAACATTTATTCAAATGTTCAAAATGTTCACATGATAGATATACATGATATTCATTATTTAATTTTGCGATATCGGAATTTTTTTTTTGAAAATCAAAAGTCGCGTTTTTGTGAAACCTTATTTTTAATTTCCGATTATTAATATTAATGGCGCACTTTCTGATCCCTGCCTGATACACAACGATTGCATAAAATATACATTTCATGCGGATTAGATAAAAGGCGACGATAAAAACAAACAATAATTATTTTTAGTAATTATTATTTGTTTATTTCTAAAAAAATAAATGAGACCACACTAAATTTACAATAAATTATAAATTACTTATCTAATAATATTAAGTGATATCATCACCACAGAAGAAAGTCTAACTGTTATATTTTTCTTTCTAAATCATTGAAAATTTTATTTTTCCGAGGCTACAACTTTATACGAGAAATATAGAAAGTTACAATGAATGAGAAAGCATCGCAATTGGCACCAAAAGTTTTGGTTACTTGGAAAAGATGCCCTTTATATGGCTGAAAAAAAATTAATTAATAAAGATTAATGAATTAGAGTTTTTTGAAGGTCATAATCCCTAATCCTATCAATGTATTGAATTTTTCAATTTTTAATATCTGGATGGATCCTTCACATAATCTTTGCTTTATCATAGAAAACTGTCAAATGCAAGAATACCCAAAATAATTATACATTTGTTAATTTTGAGTGAAAAAAAAATATCAATATGCTAATTGGAATTCTTCTACGTGATGTATAGTAAGAATGTAATATTCAGCGATTATCCAATAAATTCTATATTTTTTTTTTACTATATACAGTATAAAGAAAGACAAACATAAAAACAATAAATATTAAAAATCATTTCGCAATGAAAATAAAATTTTAAAAATAACTATCTGGCGAGACTATTTGACCGCAGAACAGCTTTTGCTTGACATAAAAGGTAGGTGGGCGTATTTATTTGTTTTGTCTGGATTAAATTACGTAGAAAACAAGTTGATTTTGTCGTAGGAACAATTTTTACTTAAAAATCACCTATGTATGCGCTAGTGACAAATAAGAAAGCACCTATAACATTATTTGTTTGTCATCCTACGAAATAAAAATAGAACATCTATTAATTGTTATCTAATTTTTTTAAATAGAAGTAAAGATTTGGTAATTTTAGTTACGAATAAAAAAAATCGGGTTGTCTTTGAGTTGGTAATATGTTTGATGATATTATGTTCCATGATTTTTGATTATTACAGCAAATTTATATACTTTTTTCTGCAAACTTGGTATGCTTAACACGTAAAGTTTGCAGTTTTCCAGCTTGAAAATATCTTTAATTCGAAAATTTTTTTCCTTTACTTGCTTTCTGGTTATGCTCCGCATGTCATCATAACTTACTTTTATTGAGCTTACAGTTATCTATTTTGGCTTCTGATTTGATAACAATGCCCTGTAGTCACTTCGTTCCCTTGGGTATGAAAAAGTTATCAGAGACGAAAACTATATGTAGTTTTATAAAAGATCTCGAAAATGATATCCTGGATGTTGGGAAGCTATAAATGATATCAATTTTGGTATCAAAAAATCGGTAAAAAAATTAGCCAGTGTCACAGAACCCTATTCCTTAAAGGAATTTACGCCAAATTTGGCGTAAAATAAAAGGAATATCCTATATACAGTAAGGTTCTTTTTTTGAAATATACAGTACCCTACCAAAAATGGAAATTTATTCTATAAAAAAGGAAATGGCTCAAATTTTTGTAACATCCTCGTGACAGTTATTTGTATGTGACGATTAAACTTGTGAGGCTTGGGGTGGTAGGAGTTATGGAATGCTTACCAACTCCAAAAATAAATTCTTATTTGTCACGTAGGTTCTGTATATTTCATAAAAAGAACCTTTCTGTATATAGGATGACCCAAAATAAAATTTTCAGTATAATTCCGAGTGTGGGTGTATACTATTTAAAAATGTTTTCAAATAGTAAATAAACAATTATTATTTATGTCATGTAGTACAAACTCTACTAATTACGTTATTTGGTATTGTATGGTTTTCAGTCTCTGGAGAGGTGGTATGTTATTTAGAATTAAAGATGCTTTATAATTAAAGGTTGTGTATATTTGTTCGCGGGATCTTTTTTTTAATGCCAGAATTAAAGTAGGTTTTTTGCTGCAAGTTGTCAATCATTAATGATAATATTTCAATGAATTAATTATATCCTCTCTCATATTATCTATTAGTTAATAATAGTTCACCAAGCAATCAAACTCGACATACACATCAATGGTCTAAAAGAGCCCGAATAATCCTTGCCATTGGAAATGACATTTTCCGAAGAGGTTATGAAGTTATCAAGATAGATGATCTTTAAGATTTCACGCCAAGTGTACAATGCTTTTTGAAAGAAGACAAGGATAAAAAAAGACGTGGAGATATCATTAGCAGATTCCACGTTTCATCATTCTAAAGGTTTGTATGTTGATGAGAAGCGAGAAGCTATTATTGCAAATAGCATTCTTAAATCCAAGGAATTTATCATCCAAAGTACAAATAAAAAACACAAAAGTCGTCTCCATCACTAAAAGATTGAAGAGCATAGAATCAAGATTATTTCACAGTTTATTATTATCATCATCATCAACCACAACAAACTCTCCATGGATGTATTCGGCATTATCTTCTTCCTTGTCAACTTTCTTTTCACAAACACGTTTGATGTTGTCTTCCTCCATTTATCAACAGCAACAACAGAAGCAACAGGTAGAAGTGGTAAAAGATCCTGATTATAATGATTAGATGTTGCCGTTACTAACAACTGAAAACGTTAATAAACAATCATGAAATAAGATCAAAAAAAAAAACAAATAAAATGTAAAAACTGAAAACGTTGATAAAACAAACATGAAGATGATGACCAAAATCTTTTATGAAAGAGAATGTTCAAATAAAGAAG